GTGGGGGCTGGACGAGAGGGACTAGCAGGACCTCGGGGAGGAAGGCAAGGAGTGGGAACACAAGAGGGTTCAAGTTCAAGGTTTGAAGCACCAAGGGTCACTGCTGGGGTCCCCTTGGATCCCGCCAGGATGGGAGGGGGTGCCGTCAGGCGCTCCCCACCGCGTTCTTGCCAGGGACCATCCAGACTGAGCCTTGCCCAGACTCTCCTGCCCTGGGAGCCCCCTGGGTGTCCCCACAGCCAGGAGCCCACGCCTTGAGCCTGGAAGTGGGACCTGGACATGGTGCCCGGTGCAGCCTCACTGCCCCGCTGGGACTGGCCACCCGACCCCTCTATCCAGCGCTGCGGGCCCCCATAGGCAGGTTTGTAATGTGCTCACCTTTGTTCCTACAGCCCTGCACATAGCAGCCGGCCCCAGAGCCGCCTGTGGACGGGCAGAAAGGACTGCGCCCCCGGTCACCCTGCCCTGGAGCCTAGAGATGGAGGACTTGCTCCCATGCCTCCTGTCTGACTTTGGGCAGGATGCTGGCCGACATTCCGACTCCCTGCTCCCCATGCCGCCCAGCCCCGCCCAGGATCCACAGCCGCGGGAAGCTGGGTGGGAAGTGGAGCTGAGACCCGACCCAGGCACTCACCCGGGTGTGGGCATCTGAGAGCAGGCAGGGCCACACGCCCACCCCTCTTGTGCGGCTTTAACCCAAACCGTGTCGGCCTCCAGACGCCTCTGCCACTCCAGTTGTGGGGATACCCGAAAGGAGTTGGGGGGCCACAGGGCGATGGGGAGGGACTTCCAGGCCAACTCCAGGGAGACACCAGAGTCTGGGAGGGAAGGAGTTCCTGGCTCCCAGCCAGCCTGGTTGCTCCGCATCAGCTAAGCTCACTCACTGTGCCCACTGCTCACAGTTACCATGCCCTGGCCACGGGGCAGCAGACAGAGACCCCAGGCCCCGAGGATGTGGAGACACTGCCTGGCTCCCGATGGCCACCCGGCCTGGCAGGGCCTGCTCCTGCTGCGCTGTCCTTGTGCCACCCTGGGCTCTGCCCCCGCCCCGCACCTGGTCCTTTCCTGGTCACCCTCTTCGGACAGGCCACAGCCGACTGCCAACGTGGTAGGCAGCATGTATGTGCTGTGCACATGTCCACGCTGGATATACACACGTCCACACACGTGTGGCACAGGCACACATACAATACAACAGAACACGCATGCACACACAGCACACACATGGCCACATGCTCTGTGGTTCCTGTGAGGAGCGTCTGTCTGCTCCCGGGCCATGACCGCCACAGCACCCTGTGACTCCACAGGGGCAGCCTTGGCTGGGTCCCCTGGGTAGGGTAGCCTGTCCAATGCCACCTGCTACCCTCTCCCGTCTGCAAACCTACCCTTCTCCCTCCCAGTCCACGTCCTCGCCCTCATTCCCACCTTCCTTTTCCTGCTGTCCTGTTGGACTCTCAGAGGTGGACCCAGCGCTCCTCCACGGGACGGTGGGGGAGCATGCTCTTCTTCTAGCCCCCCATGTGCCATTCCCCAAGCTCCTGGGCCACACTCACTCCAGGTCGCTGCAGGGCAGGGAAGGAAAGGCACGGCTGGGGGGGGGAGGCGATGCCTGCAGGGAGGAACTCACCTGCCCGCTGGCACCTTAACCGCCTGTGCGTCCCTCCGGGGGAGGCTCCGGCTGACAGTGACCACTGCGGGGACAAGCGAGTCGGAACGTGGGGCGTGCGTCCAGTACCCCAGCCGCGAGGAGGGGAGAGGCCAGCCGGGCAGCTGCTGGGAGACCTCCGCCCGGTCCGTTCTGTCCGTGGGGGCGGCAAAGGCGCTCAGCACCCTGGACAGCGGCGCGCCCCGCTGCCGCCCCCATGCCACCCGATCGCTCCTCTGCGGCTCCCGTGCCCGCTTTCGCGCGTGTCCTGCCTGGCCCGCCGCACCTGATCGCCGGGAAGCCGCTGGTGTGGCCCCCGCGGCAAGACGCTGCTGGCGGGGCTGCCCCCCGCGCCTGGTCGTCTTCCTGGTGAACCTGTCGCTGAGCCATCTGCCGTTGGCAGTCACTGCTGATGCCCATCGGCGTGGCCGCCCTCGTCTGCCGGGGCGACACCTTTGCACCCCGCTTCACTGTGCTGCCACCCATGCGCCAGCGCCGGGGCTTGGTCCCTTCACCACGAAGCTCGCTGCAGGCTCCATGCTGCCACTCCCTGCGCTGGGCAGCCTTCCTTCCCGGTCGCAGCGTCAACATGGGGTGCCCACCGGTACTGCTGGTTAACCCGCACCCTGCCCTCGGTGTTGGCCGCTTGGGGGACCCTGTGGCTCTGCACCCACCTCCGGACTCAGGCCACAGGGGCCTTGGCCCACCTCCCCTGCACCCGCTGAGTGGCCCGACTAAGCTGTGCTCACCATCCGATGTCCTGCCCAGGATGGACGCCCCACCACCTACAGAGCCCCAGCCCACGGCCACCTGGCTTCAGGGACACCTTGAGGGTTCCATTTAAAGCTGTGACCTCTGACCCTCTGTGGCCGGGGTGACCTTTACTGGTCAGGGTTCCCAGAAAGCTGCCACCTTCCTGCTCCCCCCCGTTTCTCCCATTGGGCCCTCCTCCTCTCCAAGTTTGAGCAGAGCAACCGGGGCAGATCACACGCGAGTGGGGTGGGAGCTGGGCTCCACGGGCCACGGGGCGGGCAGGTCCAGCCCAGGGGTTTGAATGACCTGCTGGGAGCACAGCTTCTGCACAGCTTCAGCTTTCTCTCCCCTGATCCTGCCATGGCCTCAGGAAGTCTGCTTCTGGAACCTTCCACTCATGCATGCATTTTGGTGTGTGCATGACCACTGCCCCTCTTGCCAAGCCCCACACGGGCTGCTGGCTGTGGGCTCGCTGGAGGGAGGCCTGGGTGGCCTGGAAGCCCACCCTGCCGCAGGAATGCCAGGTGGCATCCCACACCCAGCAGGTCAGCTGGGGGAGAGGTGCAGGTGAGGGAGGGGGAAGGAGCCGCTGGGCGGCTTGGGGGCCAGCCTCGGCCTCCGGGGGGCAGGCAGCCGTCTCGGAGCAGCGTCTCGGAGCAGCTGTCTCGGAGCAGCGTCTCGGAGCACCTCTGCGGGGCCAGCAACTGTGACCCTGTGCTGCTTGGTCATGTCTGACTGGGGCAGCTGCGTCACCTGGCTGAGGGCAGGAGAGACAGGCAGGGCTCAGTTCTCTGCCCTTGGCCCTGTGCTGCTGGCCGCCCCTGCAGGCTGGCTGCTGTGTGGTTGCAGCTGCCATGCACACTGGACCTCCCCCAGGGCCCGGCGAGGTGGAGCCCTCCCTGGCGGACCCCGCAGCAGCACTGCCCGGTGCCTCCCGGACCCCGAGGGAGCTGGCACAGCGAGTTCTTGTCCAGTTAGGGGCCACTCAGGTACATGATGGTGTCCTTGGGTGGCATGGGAACAGACTGCAGGCATGCGGTCAGGAGGGGACACTGCCCCCACCTCGGGCCTGGCTCAGGGCCCCTTCCCCTGCCCTGTGAAGGCTGTGCCCACGGCTGAGAAGGACAGCAGCTGCCCAGGGAGGGGACCCTGAGCCCAGCGTGGGCCCCTCGGTGTGGCCGGTGCTGTGGCCCCACATCCTTGTGCTGATGGAAGGTGCCAGCACGAGGAGGACTCACCGATGTGCCTCCCCACGGGAGAGAGGAGCGAGGCGCGGAATCCCATCACTGGCTCACCCGTCAGACGGCCGCAATGGCAGGGCTGGCCTAGGCTGGCCTGGGCCCCATCCGGATCTCATGTGGGTGCAGGGCCACACACTTGAGCCTTCCTTCAGTGCTTTCCCAGAGGAATTAGCAGGGAGCTGCATCAGAAGTGGAGCAGCCAGGACTTTAACTGGAGCCCGTTTGGGATGCAGGCACTGCGGGAGGCAGTTTTACATGCAGCGCCACAGTGCCAGCCTCCAAGGAACTTTCTGGAAGAGCACAGGTACCTGCCAGGGGGGGTCTGGCCCTGCCTGTGTAGCACTGAAACCCTTCCTCCCTGCTCCGCCTTGCCGGTTCATGGGGCTCACCCTCTGGACTGTGGCCTTGTTTTAATTTTCAGACGTGACAGGGACAGGGCTCGCCATCCATGGTCACTTGTGCGGGGTGTTGGTGCAGTTGGAGCTGGCGTTGCATGTTCTGGTGTTCCCTCCACGGCTGGCCACAGCCAAGGATGAGGCGGGCTCAAGGCCACTTGGAACCTGCCGGGCGGCTGAAGGAGCCTGGAGACGCAGTCGGCCATTGCTCTCAGCTTCCGGTCCACCTTCCTGCCACGTCACCCAGTGCCCTACCTGTTCAGACAGGGCAGCTGGCCAGGACTGGCAGCAGGAGCTGATGCTCTCCACACTCCCAGACTCCCTTTGAGCCCGGTGCCCTCCCTGGTGCTGGCCAGGGAGTTGCCCGACAGCATACCCCACCACGGCCAGACGATGAGCTGCCGGCTCACTGCCCAGCTGGCCCACCTGACTGGCACTGGGCTCCCGGCTCAGCTGGGTGAGGTGCATGGATGTAGGGAGTGTCAGCCCCCCTTTCACCACTAGTTCCTCAGTCCCCAAGTCTGGCCCCTCCGTGACCCAGGCACCGGCATGAGAGCAGTGCCACGATGTCCCCAGAGTGCACACCCAGCTGGCCGGTGGACCGGTGGGCCGGCTGCCCCTTCCCTCCCTCCTCCCAGGGAGGCCCGGAGCCCGGTCATTTGGCCTGGCCCGCGCTCAGCCAGCCGGGGTCATTATGGGGCCGGGACCCCCCCACCCCGCCTCCACACCCACAGCCGTCCGGATTGGCAGCCAGCCGGGAGGTGGGCTGCGGGCGCGGGGAGGGCAGGCCACCGGCTTATCTGCTCCCGCCCCGCGCATCCTCCCGCCCGGGTTGCCCGCTGTAACCCGACTCCGCGCTGGGCCCGGGCCCCCCTGCGCGCGAGGGGCGGGCGCAAGAGCGAGCGCCCAGCCCGGCGAGTGCCACATCACTGCGCCCTCGGCGGCCGCCAGCCCACCATGCCGCCGCTGCTGCTCCTCGCTGTCCTGGCCGCCGCCGTCGCTGCCCAGCCTGAGTGCCAGCCGACCCGGGACCCTGCCGGTGAGACCCCTGCCCCGTGCCCACCGGGCTGGAACTTGCGGTGCGAGAGTGGTTCGTGACCCGCAGCGCGGCCAGGGTCTCTTCCCCCGGCAAGGGCTTGGGGGACCGGGAGGTCTCTGACACGCACGGAGCTGGGGTGGGGAGGTGGAGGCACAGGAGGGCTGGTCAGGTCAGGGGCCAATTGGTCTGCAGGAGGGGCAGCCCTGTGGCCAGGTCCCAGGGAACAGGTGCCAGGCCTTTCCAAGTGGAGAGGGCAGCCAGGTTCTGGTCCTTCTAGGAATGGGGAGGCCTTGGCAGCCACAAACCTCGGACTCCGCCCCCTGCCAGTCCGGGCTGGGAAGGACTGGTACCAGTCTGTGTCCACGTGAGCTCACCCCAGGGGGTCCCGGCAGCTGGGCCGCACCTCCGAGCTCCAGGCATTGGGGCTTGGCCCCCAGCCCCTAGGAAAGACAACCAGAGGCTGGGGGCGGGTCCCCCACAGCCGGCAGGAGTCAGACCCAGCCTCTCCCCGTCTGTGGACTCTGCCTACCGACGTGCCTAACTCTTCCCCTCCATCTCCCGCCTCGCCTGTGTGTGCACCCACACATGTGTGGGAGCTGCTGGAACTTGCACACGTCATGGACAGAAGCCGCTCGCCCTCTCCCTGCCCCTGCCCCTGCCTAGAACCGGCGGCCATGCCCCCTTCTCTGCAGGCCACTCCCTCGCCCAGCAGGTGGGCGCTGTCACTCACTGGCGCTGGGTCCTGCAGGGGCCCCAGTCAGCGTGCTCTAGATCAGATGCTCCCTGCTTTGTGCACTGTTCCCTCCTCGCTGATGGGGTAGAAGCTGACCACAGGCCGAGGTGGGCAGGGCCAGCAGCTGAGTCCAGGCCTCTATGCCCAGGGGCACAGAGCGAGCCTGCCCCCAGCAGACGACTCCTGGTCTTTGCAAGGGCCGGGGCTCTGGGTTCGAGCCCCGATGCCTCCTCTCTGCCGTGGGACGTTAGGCAATACCCTGACCTCTGGGCTCCCGCCGGCAGGAGGACGCCGCTGTGGACAGACCAAGGGGGCGTGAGGACGTGCTGCCACCTTGTGGCCGAGCGGTGGCAGCACGTGCCGAGTGCCAGGTGGAAGGGCACCGTCCGGGCGTCTGTCCCAGGAACCACCAGGAGCTGATTTACTGGGCACACACCTAACATTCAGAGACGCGACTTGTCAGGACGCCCGTGGGTGTGGGCTCTGCAAGCGCCAAGTGCAGGGTGGGCGCGTGGGGCTCATGCTGCCCCTCCCCCTGTACCTGTCCTGCCCCTGTGCCTGCATGACGTTAGGTCTTCCGGCTCTTCGGGAGGCCAATGCCCAGGGCTGAGGGGACTGGGGTGGGCGCCCTTCAGGGCACAGTCTACTGCGCAGCTGCTGTGTGCCTCTGCAAAGGTGCAGCACCTTCCCCAGACCCGCTGTGCTCCCCTCCCCCACCCAGACTCCACCACGGCCAGTGTGGCACACTGGGACTGTCCCCTTCTCCATCTCACACTGCCCAGGAGAGTGTGTGTGTCTGGGGATGCAGGGGACCCTGGTGGCTGGGGTCTCCCAGGGGTGTCAGCGAGGGTCCTGTGGTCCCAGGAGAGCAGGGCCTCTGCTGGGCGGGCAGCATGCGGAGTGGACACAGGCTTCCCAGGGCCGAGCCAGCACGTCTGTGCCAGGACGCAGCATCATTGGCAGCTGGTGTCTCCTCTCATGGGCGGTGTTCTGTGGCTGGGCCGTGTGCACGAGGGGGCACAGGCGTCCCCACGGGCGACCCGCAGGCAGCGTGAGCGGCTGCTGTGCTTCGGCCTGGAAGGGGCAGCTGCCCGGCCAGTGTCCCCAGCGAGCACCTCCTGAATGGCACTGTCTCCTCCCCAGGTGACTGCCGAGGGCCCCCGGCTGCACAAGGCGGTAAGTACCAGACCCTCCGGCTCTGAGAGCTGCAGAGCCCTGGCCCACCCTCAGGGCACTGGGACAGGAGCTCAGGGCTTCCAGAGCGGGCAGTGAGTCATAGGATTCTCAGACAGTTCGTGCCCACTGGCCCTGCCTCCCCTCTCTGCTGGACTGTGGGTGCCCCGGCCCTCGGAGTGACCACTGTCCCCTGCTGCCCCTAGCTGCCTGCGTGGACCTGCAGCTGCGCACCTGCGCTGACATGGCCTACAACCGCACAGCCTTCCCCAACGTGCTGGGCCACAGGTCGCGGGAGGCCGTGGAGGCCAGCCCCGAGTACGTCCTCCTGGGTGTCCTGCACCATCTGCTGGAGGGCCAGTGCAATCCCGACCTGCGGCTGCTGGGCTGCGCCGTGCTGGCCCCGCGCTGTGACAACAGCGGCAGCCGCACACCCAGGCCCTGCCGGCACACGTGCCAGGCCCTGCGGCAGGCCTGCCAGCCGGCCTTCGACGCCATCGACATGGCCTGGCCCTACTTCCTGGACTGCAGCCGCTACTTCGCAGGGGAAGAGGAGGGCTGCTATGACCCCCTCCAGCAGCTGCAGGGTAAGGAGTCCAAGCAGAGCTGCCATTGGCCAGGCAGGGGGTGGAGCTGAGTGGAAGCCACACCCACACGGCCCTGGCCGGTGGTGCCAAGCAGAAAACCCTGCCCATGTGGCCCTGATGGGGCAGGATCTCTCAGTGGGCTGCCTGGGCTCAGGACAGGGCCAGGGTGGACCCACGATGTGGCTGGGCCTGAGGACCATTTGAGGGGTTGGGCATGGCGGACGCCCCGTGGAGGGCTACTTGTGAGTCCCTGGTCTCGGGGTTGTCCCGTGATGAACTTGGCCTCCTCTGATGGACTAGGCAGGCACAGGGCCCTGTGAGCCCCTGGTCTTGGCGCTGTGCCGAAGGGCCATGCTGGAAGGGGGGCCTGAGTCCTCGCCGCCCCGAGGATGCTGCTCATTCCGGCCATGAGGGGAAGGCTATCGCCCACGGGGACTTCCCGGGTGGCAGCCACGGTCAGCACATGCAGCTCGAGGGACATGGCCAGCGGGATGGAGGCCCCGAGTTCCCATGGCGCCTCACTGGCATGAATTTAAGCTAAGGCGGCACCTGCTGCTGGGTGTGACATTGCAGTAGTGTGGAGCTCAGCTCCCTGCCTTGTGCCTGGGGATCCTGGGGCCTTGGGGCCGGAGTGCACTGGCCAGTCGCTGGGTCACTGGGGACCCTGTCGCTGTGGGACCCGGGCATGCACAGTGGCCTCTGTCAGCACGTGGGGAGTGAGGGCTGACCCCAGCTCTCTCAGAGCCCCAGGCCACCCCGAGAGAGGAGCTGCCCGGTCCACAGGGCAGCGGGAGGCCCCAAGCCCCTGCTGAAGCCAGCTCCCCCTCTTCCTCAGAAGGCTTGGAGCTGGAGGAGGTGCCACCCCCGGGCCTGCCACCCAACTTCATCCGCTTCGCACACCATTCCTACTCACAGATGGTGCGGGTACTGCGGCGGACAGCAGCCCGCTGCGCCCACGTGGCCAGGACCTACAGCATTGGGCGCAGCTTTGAGGGCAGGGACCTGCTGGTCATCGAGCTGTCGGCGCGCCCGGGCCAGCATGAGCTCAGTAAGAGGGCTTGGTGGGAAGGCCCTTTGCCTCTGGGGAAAGAGCTGGGGCTGGGGGAGCCGGGGCTGGAACACAGCGGCCTCAGGGGACGCTGTGTGGGGCACTTGCCCCGATGCCGTCTCATCCACCCTCAGACCTAACAGCTTTTGCTATGAACAAAACACCAAGCTCTGAAGTCCCACACCAAGAGTGCACCTCGTGGCCAGCACATCACGCCAGCTCAAAAGCAGGTGTAGGCGGTGTGGACATCACGAGCCCCACAGAGAAAGTAGCTCCCAGCAGAGGTCAGGGGGCATCTGGTGTGTCCAGGACGCAACCCGAGGTCCTGAGGCTTGGGGCTGAAGGCCAGAGCCCCCCTGCATTGGCATCTTGTGGGAGATGGGCAGCCTTCTGATGGGTGACGTCGGGGACATGATGTCACTCTCACAGCCAGAGGTCGCTGGACCACACATTGTTGGTCAGGGGAGAGAATTCCTACAAGGGCAACATGTGGTCCCACAGGCAGCAAGCAGCCAGGCTGGGGCACTTTCTACAGAATCCATCCATCTAACCACCAGTCAACCCACCACCCATCCACCCACCTACCGATATATTCATTCATTGTCCATCCACCCACCAACCCACCCATCCATCCATCCACCTATCCATCCACTCATTCATTCATCCACCAACCCACCCATCCATCCATCCACCCATCCACTCATTCATCCACCCACCCATCCATCCATCCATCCACCCATCCATCCACTCATTCATTCATCCACTCACCCATCCATCCACTCATTCATTCATCCACCCATCCATCTGCCCACTAATCTCTGTGCCCATCCACTGATCCTTTCTCCTTCCCTCCCTCCTTCCCTCCCTCCTTCCCTGTCTCTCTCCCTCCTTCCCTCCTTTCTTCCTTCACTCACCCTCCAATACACGCACTGAGGGCCACCGCCTTCCCACTGACATGTTACACAAATGTGAGGCATGGCCCATTAAATTGCTATGGATCAAAGATGGTGTGGGCAGCCGAGCCCTCTGTGCCACTCACAAGTGCCTTTGGTCGGCCGTGCTGGAGTCCACAGCTGGGTGTTAGCGATGAGCTGGACTGGCCCTTGCTGTGCTCAGAGTGAGCAGCCAGGCCGGCACGGGCGGTCAGCCTGGCTGCGTCCCTGCCCCTCCTGCAGTGGAGCCCGAGGTCAAGCTCATTGGCAACATTCATGGCAATGAAGTGGCCGGCCGCGAGCTGCTGCTCTACCTGGCTCAGTACCTGTGTGGCGAGTACCTGCTGGGCAACCCCCGTGTGCAGCGTCTGCTCAATTCCACCCGCATCCATCTGCTGCCCTCCATGAACCCTGACGGCTACGAGGTGGCGGCTGCTGAGGTGGGGGCTCGGGGTGGGCACTGCACCAGCCAGGGCCTGCTGGGGGAAAGGAAGGCCTTGGGGGCACGGCCCGGAGCAGCAACCGACGACTGTGGCCGGCCTAACCTTGATCAGGAAGAGTCATGGTGAGGCCTCTGCCACCAGGGTGCTGGCTACAATGGCTGGACCAGTGGGCGGCAGAACGCACAGAACCTTGACTTGAACCGCAACTTCCCAGACCTCACGTCTGAGTTCTACCGGCTGGCAGCAGCCCGCGGCGTGCGCAGCGGTCCCCTCCCCATCCCACAACACTACTGGTGGGGTAAGGTAGGCGTGGGGTGCAGCCCCTCCACGGGGCTCCCGGCGTTCCAGGACCCTCAGCTGCCCAAGCCTTGGGCTTCGGTCTGTAAGATGGGGCCTTGTGGGATCCTCGGGCTGGTTCTTCCCACCTGCCTTAGCAGGTGCCCCAGGCCCTCCCAGGCCTGAGCCGGCCAGGGGCTGTGTGCTCAGGAGCCGGCCTTCCATCCGTCACCCACCAATACATTCATCCGTCATCCATTCACCCCATGGGCACCTGCAGCCGTGCCCAAGCCCCAAGGAACCCCCGGCCCCCGGTCGAGGGTAGGTAGGCACATGGCCCTTGCCCAAGGGCCCAAGGCAAGGAGGGGCATTCCTGGTGGGCATGCGCACCTGAGGGAGGCCTGGTCCCCGGCAGGTGGCCCCCGAGACCAAGGCAATAATGAAGTGGATGAAGACGGCCCCATTCATGCTGTCGGCCAGCCTGCACGGGGGCGACCTGGTGGTGTCCTACCCTTTTGATCTGTCCAAGCACCCAGAGGAGGAAAAGATGTTCTCTCCCACGCCAGACGAGAAGGTGGGTGTGTGGGGGCACAGGGAGGGGCACTGCCCTGCTGGTCTGTCCGGGCTCCGGGCTGCTCCTCGCCCAGGGCAGGTCCAGCTTCTCCGGGAGTGCCCGACGGCTCTAACCCACCTCCCACGGTCTCCCTCCTGGGCAGCAGGCCGGGGACCCTGCTGGGCAGCAGGCCGGGGACCCTGCTGGGCAGCAGACCGGGGACCCTCCTGGGCAGCAGGCCGGGGACCCTCGGGCCGAGGAGGGCGCAGTGGCCCGCGCCGCCGGCAGAGGGCAGCGGTGTCGCGTGCGTGGCGCCTGCGGGTTCAGCCCGTGTCCGGGGGGGACCCCTGCGTGGACCCCTGCGTGTGGACGTCGGCGGGAGGAGGCAGGGAGGCAGCCTTTCCCTGCTTGCGGCCAGCGAGGGATGACCGTGGGACCCTCGCCTGTCCCCACGTGTCCCTTAGCTAACCTGTTATCCTAAGCACAGGGGACGCGCGGGTGTGGCAGCGGAAGGCGCCTGGCGTGATGATGGGGCTCCCGTTGGCCCCTCCAGCTCACCAATCGCTCCTCATCTTCGTCCTCCCCTCTCCCTCCTCCCGCTCACTCACCCCTCCCTTCGCTCACACCCTGCATCTCGCACTGAGGGGCTCGCGTTCCTTCCACCATGCTGCAGCACCTGGACCCGTGGGGAGCCTGCGGAGAGCTGCCCTACCCCGCGGAGCCAGGGGAGGGGCTGCGCCCCAGGGTCCCGGAGATGGGTGGGCCATGGACCCCTGCAGTGGAGACCTGTGGTGGTGGGTGGGGCTGGGGTTTCCTGTGGGGAAGGGAGAGCTGTTGGGGTTGTCCTTAGCTGAGGCCCACTGTGGGAACAAAGCTTCCTGGAGGTGCGGCTCGGCTGCCCCATGTGGACACCCTTGCCCAGCTCTCCGAGCCCTCCTCCAAGCCCACAGGGGCAGTTAGGTCACAGCCCCCAGCCCAGCAGGTGCACAGGGCACCTGTGCTGGCCCCCTGCCCTGCCTGTGACCTCACCCTGCAGCCCCTCTGCACAGGCCTCCCTCCCCTCCGGCTCCGGCCCTACAGGGAAACCGTCTCATGCTTTGCAGATGTTTAAGCTGCTGGCCCGAGCCTACGCCGACGCCCACCCCATGATGATGGACAGGTCGGAGCACAGGTGTGGGGGCAACTTCCTGTCGAGGGGGAGCATCATCAACGGGGCCGACTGGTACAGCTTCGCGGGAGGTGCGGCCCTGGTGGGGTGCCACAGGCCCTCCCTCCCTGGCCGCTGCCCGGTGCTCTCCTGGGAGGGGTCCCTGGCCTGGGTGTGCCCGATCTGGCTGAGGTGGCTCGCTTCACTGAGATGGGAGAGGACTCTGTGGTTTATTCTCAGAACCACCAACTCCCCACCCACCTGTGACCCCTCACCCCTAACCCTGCCCACCTGCTACCCCTCACTCCGCAACCTGTCACTCACCCCACCCACCTGACACTCACCCCTAACCCTGCCCACCTGCTACCCCTCACTCCTCACCCTGCACACCTGTCACTCACCTTGCCCACCTGTCACCCCACCAATCTGTCACTCCACACCCCACTCACCTGTCACTCACCCCTCACCCCACCCACTGTCACTGACCCCGCCCACCTGTTACTCACCCCTTCACCCCGCCCACCTGTCACTCACCTCACCCCGCCCACCTGACACTGACCTCGCCCACCTGTTACTCACCCCTCATTCCACCCACCTGTCACTCACCTCGCCCCGCCCACCTGTCACTGACCCTGCCCACCTGTCACACTGTAGTTCTACCTGCCCGTGCACATGGCCTAGTGTTCCCTTCTGCATGACTCAGGGTCTTCTTGCTGTTCCCGGGGGGCAGGAGGCTCCTGGCTCTCCCTGGTCCTGGAGTGCAGCTACTCTGACCCCAGTGGGGTCCCAGCCCCGGCCGTGGGTCTGTGGGGCTCACAGGCGCTGAGCTGAGCGAGGTCCCCAGCGGAAGCTTGGGGGCTGGTGGGCAGGGCCAGCACCCAAACCCGGGAGGTGGCTGTGCCAGGGGACAGTGACCGTCATGGCGGGGACATCAGGGCTCAGGGAGCAGGTGCAGCGATGCTGGGAGGCAGGCCAGCCGGGGCCTCCCTCAGACACTGGCCATGGCATCCCAGGGCTGGGCTCATGTGGTGCCACCCAGGCCCACTGCCCCAGGAACACTGGGTCCTCTGGCCTGGTCGGGGGAGACAGCAGGCGTGGGGCTCCATGGTGGGGCCTCGGGAGGCTGGGGACCTCAGCCACCACCCCATGTTAGCCCTGTGCCATTCCCCTACCCCCAGTCCCCTGGGCCGGTTGTCCCCTGCCGCCCTGTGCCGGCTCCCCATCCCCTGGGCGGGCTGTCCCCCAACGCTGTGCCGCCCCACCCCCCAGGCATGTCCGACTTCAACTACCTGTACAGCAACTGCTTTGAGATCACGGTGGAGCTGGGCTGCGTCAAGTTCCCACCGGAGGAGGCCCTCTACCCACTGTGGCAGCAGAACAAGGAGCCTCTGCTGAGCTTCCTGGAGATGGTGAGCTGGGTCGGGAGCCGGGCGCCTCCTGCAGGGTGAGCTGGGTCGGGAGCCGGGCGCCTCCTGCAGGGTGAGCTGGGTCGGGAGCCCGGGGCGCCTCCTGCAGGGTGGGGTGGGTCGGGAGCCCGGGGCGCCTCCTGCAGGGTGAGCTGGGTCGGGAGCCGGGCGCCTCCTGCAGGGTGGGGTGGAGGGGCAGTGCTGGGCAGACCTGGGGACATGGGGTGGCATTCTGAGGGGCCCATAGGGTCAGAGGTGGAAGAGGCCCTGGATTCATGCAGACCTTACCTGCCCCCCCTCCGTGTTTCCAAGATACAGGAGCCGCAGGGGATCAGGGCTGGTTGGGGGCAGGAGACGAGGGGCTGACCTGACCAGGGTAGATGACCCAACAGCCTCTTAGAACCCAAGCCCTGCCTGCCTGTCTCCATGGGCTCGCTGCCTTCTAGAATGTTCAGGAACTTTCCCAGGGAAGAGCCAGAGAGCGCTGTCCTGAGCAGCGTCCTGGAAGGCCAGCGGCAGAGTCAGCGTGGCTGTCTGGGCCTGTGTGTGCGCGTGTGTGTGTGTGTGTGCATGTGTGTGTGTGTGCGTGTGTGTGTGGTGTTTTCCAGCTGTCTGTCTGGTGGCGAGGGTTTTAAGGTGGCTTGGGTGCAGCTACAGCTCTGTGGATATTGTTCACGGAGATTTTATGGCTGCTGCCGAGACGGCCCCGCCCCCGGCCCCGGGGTGCTGGGCGATGCCCCCTGATAAGGCCTCGGCTGTCGGGGCCAATGGAGGCGTCTGCCCTGGTGACGCTGACCAGGCTCCCGCGGGTGTCACAGGCGGGGCGGCTGGCTCCTGCCCTGGCCCACCCCGAAGCCTCCGCACAGAGGGGACAGAGGACCGGCAAGTGCCTCCCGTGTGTGTCTGGGAGCGCAGCCGCGGGGTTGGTGTGGAGGGACCCTGGGCCGTCCGGAGGAGGGTGGGCTGAGTCTTGCAGGGCTGGAAGGAGGTGGCGAGGGGGTGAGGAGGAGCCACTGGGGGACTGGCTGCCCGGGCCCCGTTGCCCCCGCCTGGGGAAGCCTCGGTTCAGTCCCCATCCTGCCCGACTCAGACTACAGGGCAGTGTCTCAGGGAGGGCTCAGCGCTCCCTGGCAGCTTTGCCATGGTGGCTTCACCCACTGTGTCCATTTGTGTCCCACACCCCAGTATCGACAGGGGCAACTTGCAGGGGCGGCGTCCCCTACCCAGGGCTCCTAGTCTCCTCAGACCATGCAGTCCAGGAATGGAGCAAGGCAGGTCGGGCTGGCCACTGTCTTCTTCAGACTGTGGCTGGAGCAGGTGTTTCTGCCAGGGGCTGTCTCTTTGGGGGTGCAGGGACTGTAAGGCACAGGCTGAGGGGCTAGGTTGGACCCTCTCCCCCACACGCAGGGAACCTGGGGAGGGCTGTCGCCCAGTCTGAACCCTCCCTGTTACTGAGTCCACCCTCTGCTCGGGAAGCTGCAGGTCCCTGGAGCTCAGCTAGCGGGGACGTGGCCGCGCGTGGGGTCAGCAGGCAGGCCCCTGCATCCCTGCTCATCGGGTGGCTGGGGAATAAGTGCCTGGAGCAGGGCCAGGAGAGCTGGGCGGCCGGTGCCAGCTCCTTGGCCTCTCCTGGCCTCTGCAGGCACACCGAGGCATCAAGGGTGTGGTGACAGACAAGTTTGGCCAGCCCATCAGGAACGCCCGGATCTCTGTCAAGGGCATCCGCCATGACATCCTGACAGGTGGGACAGGCCGCGTCTGCGGGGGCAGGGCTGGTGCTGCTGCGGGAGACGCTGTGGCTGCGTCCAGCCACGAGCCTGCGGCACTGCGGCCCAGGCCCTGCCGTGGGCTCCTGGGGACATGTCCTGTTCCCAGGCTCTGGGGGAGCAGCCCCCTCCTCCTGGAGCCCCCTTGTCCTATTCCTCAGGGATGAGGTGGCTCAGAGTGGGGGATAGGGGTTGGGCAGGTTGGTGGGATCTCCTGAGGCAGGGCTCTGAGGCGTGTGTAGGAGTCCGCCGGGGAGAAGAGGTGGGCACTCTGGAGCTGCCCGGCTGCTCTGTCGCCCACAGCTGCCGACGGCGACTACTGGAGACTGCTGCCACCGGGCACCCACATTGTCATCGCTCAGGCCCCGGGCTATTCGAAGGTCATCAAGAGAGTGACCATTCCGCTGCGTATGAGGAAGGCTGGCCGTGTGGACTTCATCCTGCAGCCGCTGGGCGGGCAGGCCAAGAAGGGGCCCCCTGGGCCACGGCGCTCAGGGCCAGAGCCCAGCCTCGAGCCCCCCGGGGCACGCAGGCAGCCCTCGGCCAACGGCAAGCCCTGGTGGTGGTCATATTTTGCGTCCCTGAGCCCCCACAGGCCGCGCTGGCTGCTGAAGTACTAGGGCGTCGCCGGTGGCACCCGTTGCCTGGCGGGTGTCCTGGGCTGTCAGGGCCAATTAAAATGTTTGCAGGCACCTTCTGTTGAGTGGGCTCTTGTGTAACGCAGCTGCTGGGAGGCAGGGGTAGCCTGGACCCCGGGGAGACCACCCCAGGGTCCTGCCAGGGCCAGTCGCTGCGTGGGCACTGAGACCTCTGGAGTACTGGTTCTCACACACCATGAGGCTGTGAACCCATTTCACAGATGAGAAAGCCTGGGCTGTGTCCTCAGCCCAGGCACAGTGGCGGCTCGTGCTGGCCCCTGAGAGCACATACTGAAAGTGACCATGGGGGTACAGACGCTGCAGACGCCAGGATAGCCAGGCACGATCGGCTTGGTTGTGGCTGAGGGCAGTGTCCCCCCAGCTGGCAGACCGCGCAAGTTTTCTCAGGGACCCAGCGCACTGGACCACAGGTGGGTAATACAAGGCCTGGGCAGAGAGAAGCCTGGTCGGCATTGTAGCGTGGAGAGTTAACTTGCCACCTGTGGCGCCTGCATCGCACAGTGGGTACTGGGTCAAGTCCTGGCTGCTCCGCTCTGAATCCAGCTCCCTGTAATGCGCCTGGGAGGCAGTGGAGGACGGTGCCAGTGCTTGGCCTCTGGACCCGTGTGGGAGACCCGGAAGAAGCTCTTGGCTGCAGATCCGCTCAGCTCTGACCATTCTGGCCACCTGGGGAGTGAACCGGTGGATGGAAGAGCTCTCTCCCTCTCTCTGTAAATTTCCCTTTTGTATTTTTTAATAGCTCAATATTGCACTTTAAAAAAAGATCTATTTATTTTAATTGAAAAGCAGATGGACAGAGAGGAGGAGAGACAGAGAGGAAGATCTTCCATCCGAAGACTCGCTCCCCAAGTGGCCGCAACGGCCGGTGCTGCGCCGATCTGAAGCCAAGAGCCAGAAACTTTTTTTCCGGGTCTCCCACACAGGTGCAGGGTCCCAAGACTTTGGGCCATCCTCGACTACTTTCCCAGGCCACAGGCAGGGAGCTGGATGGGAAGTGAAACAGCTGGGATTAGAACCGGCGCCCATATGGGATCCTGGCGCATTCAAGGTTAGCACCTAACCATTACACTCTCTGCTGTGGTACAGAAAGTGAGGGGGGAGAGGTGGGACGGAAGCGGGTAGGCAGAGGGTGCTGGTCACTCCTGCTCTGTGGGATGGACAGGGAGGGGAGGACATGACCTTGACCCTGGCGCTCAGCCCTGCTTGAGAGTCCTCCCCGCGGTGGCTGTGTGAGTGCCCTGGGCAGACAGAGCCCGCGGCTGCCGTGTCTGCTCAGTGTCCGGCGCCCTTCCCGCAGGGGGACCGCGGCCAGGCCGCTTGGGAGCAGTCCACGTCCTGGCAGACCTAAGCCATAAACCTCGGGCAGATGGTTTTATGAGACTCATTTCTTGCCTTCCATTTTCATATCCAAATCTAATCTGCGAACCTGCTCCCTTCTAACTCACATATTATGGGGCTTTCATCAATAATAATATACGATCAATTACCCAAATGTAATTGATTAGTTAAGGGAAGCTGGCCTGCTTGTCCACGGGCCGGTGGCCTCTCTACCTTTTAGCTGAGATTCAATTTATCTGAAATTGACTAATGTCAGCCCCAGGAGCCACACGGGCACTACCTTCCCGGTCTCCTAGGTGACACGGTCCCTGGCGCGATAAGCTGCCTGTGGGGTGGGTTAGGCACCGAAATTGCCCCAATCTGGCCATGCAGGCCTTCTCATGTCACCGTGAGCCGAGTAAATCCGCTCTCGCTGGGCCTGGGGGCTGGGCCCCGCCTGTACTTCTCTTGCTTGGGGAGGGGTGGCCTGGGGCTCGGGCAGGAGGAGGCTGCGGGGAGCTGCGTTTCCTCCAGGCCAGCACTCCCGTAGAACATAGAGAGGACGTGGGGGTGCTCGTGGGCGTTTGGATACTTAGCACACCCAAACCCCACACTGGATCCCTGGGCTTTTCTCCGATGTTGGCTTGGGCACTGCCACCCTGGGAGGCAGCAGGTGGTGGCTCAAGCCCTGGGCCCTGCCGCCTAGTGGGGACCCGAGGGAGTGCAGAGCTCCTGGCTCCTGCCTGCACTGCCTGCCTGCACTGCCTGCCTGCCTGCCTGCCTGCCTGCCTGCACTGCCTGCCTGCCTGCACTGCCTGCCTGCCTGCACTGCCTGCCTGCCTGCCTGCCTGCACTGCCTGCCTGCCTGCACTGCCTGCCTGTCTGCCTGCCTGCACTGCCTGCCTGCCTGCACTGCCTGCCTGCCTGCCTGCACTGCCTGCCCGCCTGCCTGCCTGCCTGCATTGCCTGCCTGCCTGCACTGCCTGCACTGCCTGCCCGCCTGCCTGCCTGCCTGCACTGCCTGCCTGCCTGCACTGCCTGCCTGTCTGTCTGCCTGCCTGCACTGCCTGCCTGCACTGCCTGCCTGCCTGCCTGCACTGCCTGCCTGCACTGCCTGCCTGCCTGCCTGCCTGCCTGCACTGGCTGTTGGGAGCAAGGTGGGTGGGAGAACTCTCCTGTGTGCCTTCCAAACCACTGAGACACAAACGGGGCCGCCTGTGCCTTCTTGGGTGGCACTGGCATGGCAAATCCAGTCCTCCTTTCCTCGGATGGCAGCTGAGACCTCCTTAAACCCTGTGAGGGCACGAGAGGGTCACCCAGTGGGCAGCGGCCTGTCTGCTGGCGGCAGGGGATGCCATGAGGAAGGGTCCCACTGGCTCATGGGCTCCTGCCTTGTCGGTAGAAGGCAGAGAATTCGGGGTCGGTTCCAAGGAGGGGCCCCGCCACATCCAACCACAGCTCAGGGTGAGGACCCTGGCCGGTGGGGGCTTCCTTCCACACATGGTGGAGGGGGCCCTGTCCCGGTGAGCTTCCTGGCACAGGTGATCAGGAGCTGTCCCTCTGGAATCGGAGGCAGCTGACTCATCCCAGGTACATGTACACACGGAAACATTCGTACATCATGTGCTGACACACGACTCATCATACACACGTGTGTTCATCGACATGTGGATCCTGCACATATACATAACCTTATATATATGTGTCTACACACATGAGCTCTCACACAGACTGCACACCTGCACACGTGTACACACAGTTCACACACTGCACACCCACACACGTGTGCACACACAGTTCACACACTGCACACCTACACACGTGTACACACAGTTCACACACTGCACACCCACACACGTGTGCACACACAGTTCACAGACACACTGCACACATACACACATGTACACACACAGTTCACACACTGCACACCTACACACGTGTACACACAGTTCACACACTGCACACCCACACATGTGTGCACACACAGTTCACAGTTCACACACACTGCACACCCACACACGTGTACACACAGTTCACACACTGCAACCCACACACGTGTGCACACACAGTTCACACACACTGCACACCTACACACGTGTACACACAGTTCACACACTGCACACCCACACATGTGTGCACACGCACACACTGCACACCTACACACGTGTACACACAGTTCACACACTGCACACCCACACACGTGTGCACACACAGTTCACACACACTGCACACCCACACACATGTACACACCACACGCCTGCTAACATGTCAGCCCATGCCTTCACATGTAGAAACAATGTGCCTTTGGCATACTCGTGTGCGCACACATGCAGAGTCGCATGCCCTGCACATCTGCATGCAGTCTTGCTGTGCATGAACACACTCCTTGCACACAGGCAGACCCCTCACACTCACGCACATGCCTCTGTGGCCCAGGACATGCTGGCAGCCCCAGTCCACTTTCCAAGGCCTGGAGCCCTGACGCACAGCAGCTGCAGGAGCCATGGTCAGCCAGCCCAGCCCTTTCCGCATCTGCTCGGGAGCCGAGGAGCTGGGGACTGTACCCCCAACCCCGCTCTGCATCCCCACCCCCCCGACAGCCCCCACGGGATGGGGGCAGTCCTTCCCTCCTCACCCAGGGGTGGCCGTGCCCACCTTCCCAGGCTGTGTGTGCTCGGTGCACGTGTGAGACGTGTGGGTGCACTGGCACTCGGGACCCAGCCACCCAGGGGAAGGGACTCCCAGCCCCTGCCCAGGCCTGCACCTGGCCCACCTGGTCCCACCTGCAGCTCCGTCCCCAGGTGTCTGGCTTTGGGTCTGCCCTGCGAGGCAGGGGCGTGTGGGGGCATCCTGTGTATGCGTTTGCAGGTGTCGCCAGAGGCCCTGGGAGACCACAGCCCGGCAAATCCCAGCGTGACCGGCTGCTGACCCTGCTGCGGCTCCACAGAGCTGACGGCGTCCGCCTGACCCCATGCAACCCTCCAGGGGCTGGCCAGCCCGTGCTGTTCGTGGTGCTCTGGCCAGCCAGGCACTGGTCTCCACAGGGATAGGGTGCTGGAGGTTCTGCAAGGAGCTGAGGGTGGGAGCAGGGCTGGGCGTGCAGGCATGTGGGGAGCTGGAGGGCAGACATGCAGGCACAGAGAGGGGCCTGCTGGCTCCTCAACTTGGTCCCCAGATTGGCCATGGAACTGTGTCCAGCGCTACAGAGGCCGGGGGGCTGGGCCCGGGTGTGGGCATGTGTGGCCTCTGAGGCTGGTGGGGGCAGATGGCCCACCCCTCTCACCAGGCTGTCAGTCATGCAAGGCCTGCCCCTTCCAGGATGGACCGCTCCTTGCAAACTATTATACCTGCCAGGCTGTAGTCAGAGCTTGGGGGTTAGGACTTTAGCTGGGGCTTGGAGCTATGTGGGGGGATATCAAGGCAACCCTTGACCACAAGACCCCCAGACACCTTGGGGTGCTGGCCTGTCTGCACGTCCCAGCCTTAGGAGGATGGTGGGAGTGAGGTCCCTACTGAGCCGGACACCGGTGGGCAGAGAACTGGGCTGAGGAGTCGGCGTTCCGGCCCCGCGGGGGTGGGCGCTGGCCGGGGAAGGGGGGCCCTTTCTCCCCTCGGAGGCGCTAGGCCGGCGGAGTGCCTGGCGC